TAGTAGTCTACCATCCTGTTGGTACAATGTAGCTGCAAGTACTGCACAGTTTTTTTTATTATGTGCTTTTATGCTATACATGTACATGTATGGTCTATATACATGTAGGCCTTGGGGTTGGTTTGTGTAGAAGTAAGACAGGTTTAAACCCATCAAATTTAGGAATTGCAAAAAGGCAGCTAGCGATCTCAATCATATGTAGTTCTTAGTTCTTATAATTTATGTTTGTTTTTGTTAGAACCCTTTAAGTCCATTTTATCGGAGGAGTCATGTGTTGCCGAGGTCAGTTGTGCTGTCCAATATTTTTTATTATTCCTATTACACCTTTTATCATGTTTATGTATTACTTATAAATTCTCAATTACTTTGTAAAATTTACAAAAAACATCTTATTCAGCAGAAAAAACTTGGAAAGTCCAGTAGAAAATCTACATGCAAATCTGTCCTTTTCAATTTTATTTCCAAATTTTACTAGATACATTGAATGCAGTTGTTGCACTAAATATATTTGTATTTATATATATTAATTACACACTATTGCTTAATTTTTATAAATTTGTACTCATCATAGGAAAGCTGAATTTAACTGATATATTTGGTCCTGCATCAAAGTCACTGTCAGATGATACATACATGTACTTGCATACAGTAGCATGCCACACTATGTGTTGGATAATCAAACTATAATTTGGTTCTAGTAGAAAGAAAAATTGTTTAATGACATCATTAATTAAATTTAACTTACTTATCATTGGATTGGCACATGAGCAAAATGGCAGATGTCACATGTGAAGCAGGAACTGTCTAAGCCCTTCCAGAACACCTGAGTTCACCCCTGGTATTTGCTGGGTTTGTATTGCTCAGACTAGTTGGCCATGGTGTGTCTTTGATTATACCATTTGTACACTATATAGATATCTTCTTACTTAGTTATTATATTTTGATCATGCACATAATTTAGGTAGAAGCTGATGTCGGCAAAATAACCTGATTTAAATTTAATCAAATAATTAACATTTAAACAAGGAATCATGTACTAAAATATAACAGCTGTTCAATAAGCAAATAAGCCAATACCAGCAATTGTTATAAAAAGTACATGTACATGTTTAGTGAAGAACTGGAAAAATAATTAGGAATATGTACAAGAGTCTTTCAAACTCTGACAGGTATCCAATGAGAAAAGACAACTACTTCATCATGTTCATATATTTATACAGATACATGTACATATAACCCCCATTTCATACTTTCTCTCATAATCCTACGTACTCATCAAATATTATGATATATAATAAAAATAAGGAGATGAGGTATGATTTCCAATGAGACAACTATCCACCAAAGTTCAAATAAAGTGGATGTAAGCAATTATAGGCAACCGTACAGCCTTAAATAATGAGATAAACCAATACCATATAGTCGGCTATAAAAGGCCCCGATATGAAAAGTATGAAACAATTCAATTGAGGAAACTAATGGCCTAATTTATAACAAAACAATGAACAAAAAACAAATATGACAGACATGAACCAACAACAACCACTGAACTACAGGCTCCTGAATATAATCATGATAATAATGAATCCACAACTGATGAAAACCCTCAATCAAATCTGAAGGCAATCTAACAATAAATGAACATGATATCAAGACAACATAACATGACGACAACTCGATGGACAGGTCTAAAACACTATTGTACCTCTACTTAACTTTGAAGCCTTGGACATAATAAAGATTGACTTTCTAAAGAGATTTTGAGAATGTGAAAAACGCTGTCAATTACAGCTTCACTTAATCTTATCTTTTACTAGCCTTTCAGACAGAAAATCAATGTAAAAGCATCTGTATAAAACCTATATATAATTGGTCTGCTACAATGATCTCATCAATAACTTGTCCTTGATTCAAAATAAGTATCCTATGGGTTTTGTCACCACTTCAATTCCTGAACAAAAGCAACAGTCTGTCATCACTTTACCATGAACAAAAGCATCCCATCAAAACTTTTCGTTCGAGAAGGTCAGTGACTTTCCCACATATGCCCAATCATGGAGAACCTCAAAATCTTATTAAGATATTGAAAATAATCTGTAATAAGAACTATTCATGACCTGATAATACAAATTCTTTGGAAGTGATAGAAGTAATAGAGCTACCACAATGTCTCCCTTTTGCGTAAGACCTCTTGACAGGTCAAAGGCAGTTCAATAGTGCATACAAAATCTATACTAATCAACCGTAGTAGGAATTATGATAACATTACTTTAATAGCTGAAGCCAGCCCCCCCTTTTGTAAGAAAAAATTGGTTGATTATATAGGGAATCACTGAAGCATGACTGGAGCAGGCCCCCCTTAGGTCAGTCAGTGGGCCTCCCCTTACAAAAAGTTCTGGATCCGCCACTTTATATACTTGTTTATTCATGATTAAAAATGAAATATTATGATTTAGTTTAGATGTAATGTAATGTAAAAATGATAATTACCAGAGAGTAACCCTGGATTTCTTGTAAAAAATAAAGGGACCCTTCACTAGATTGCTGGACTAGTGAAGTAAATTGTTAACAGCCTGCAATATATTGTTGAATAAAAAAAAAACATTTGTAAGTCATGTAAGTGTAAAACAATATGAAACTCGAAAAATAAATTATGGAAAGGAGAATAGTTCATTTTCCAATTATCAACTTTAATTGGTTACAATTACATGTATATGAAATGAAAATTCATAAAATCATAAGTACATTAAAACCATTGACATCTTTAATTCTCTAACCATAATATGAATTAAGTGCATGTGCATACATGTACGTGTACATCTTTGCCAGCTAGTACATGTCATGCATGTATATACATTTGTACATTGAAAATACTACAATTGACATATACATGTACTAGTGAAAATAATTACTTATATACATGTATATATAACACTGGAAATTCCACTTTCTAAGTGCAATGAATCGGTTTTTTTCTCTGAGCATATTCAAAGCCAATAGAAAAAAAAAATGTTTCCAATATTCTCCAATTGAAACTTTTATAAAACCTGAGTCATTCAAAACTTGAAGATGCACTGTTCCAATGTAGATTTTGACCCTGATCATACCAAACTTGTATTGGAAAAATATAAAGGCTTTTTCAGCAAAAAATGTCATATATATCTTTTGAATGACTAAATTTAAAGAGAATTCAAACAAATTATTTTGTACATATGTATGTGTATCATTTATTTTTCCGAGGACCTTAGCAGAGGATAGATAGAGAACTTTGGTGGATAGTTGTCTCATTGGCAATCATGCCTCATCTCCTTATTTTTATATAGTTAAATACAAGCTATTTTTGTGTAACTGTTCCTAGTACAGCACCTTGTCAATGTTTCCCATGTTTAATTCTGGTTTTTTATTGTTCGTTTCTGGTTTCAGGGGGTGTGTTTTTTTTTTTTTCGTTTGATTATCATGATTATGATTTCATCATGTTTATTTATATTATCATTTGTCAGCTGCACATTGAACTCAGTTCCAACTTGTCTTAACTTAAGGTAATACAGTTGTACATGTACAAGGCTCACCTTATCATGTTATCTCTTGTTTTACAATGAAAACCTCCCAGTCTATATTTTTTAAACATGTTACTGTGGATTCATTTATTTTCGTGGGTACCAATTTTCGTGGATTAAGGAAAATTGGCATGTTCGTGGATATTTTATTTCGTGGTTTTTGACAATGTCTGCATACAAGCCTATAGTAAATTTACCATTTGTTGTACTTTTTATTTCGTGGTTAACATATAACCACGAAATCCACGAAAATTGGTATCCAACGAATAATAATGAATCCACAGTATATGTAACCAGGTAACTGTTGGCTTGCTGTCTCATTAGGATTTATCTTGACTAGATAAGGTCATTTCATGTACAAATGTGTATGCATGTACAAATTCTATACATGGTTTTCCAAAATATATATTCTAAATTATTAATTTTATTTATAGTACACTCTACATACATGTACATGTACATGTACAAATGTACAATGTTGTGAGTGACTGAGGGTGTTGGTTGCAAGGATATTTGATATAGATACACGTAGGTATATAAATATAAAACTGAAAAATGTTCTACATTCTCCAGTCATTTGGTTCTGCAGAGAATAAAATACATGTATTTGAAATGAACTTTATCATCTGAATTAACACTAGCATGACTAGTATTCAAATTTAGTCATGTTAGTGCTTTCATCCTTCGAATATTCCTGTGAGCGATTAATGACAGCACTATCCTTTAATTATAATGTTGGCATTAATTTCAATGTTGATTTCATTTCTTTATTATATATATATATATTATTTGCATTGCAATAAACTATTTATCATTATACATGTACATGTATATCTGTAAATTTTGCAAACTTTTAATACAAACATGTAGACATCTGAAGGATACATGTAGTTCAAGCCTGATATATATTCTTATTGCATATTGGTAAATTCAGGTCTCCAATAAAGGGATCTTTAAAATTTAGTTAAAGACACTAAAACAATACGTGTACATGTACCAAGTGATGAGCCGTTTGCCTTTTCTTTTGCTTTTTAATACCTAATAGGTAATTAATATATACAATGATGAATATACATGTACACAAAAATGTATATTCAAAACAAACTAAATACACATTTTGTGTATGCATCGCATGTACATGTATCAATGTACAATGTACCAGGCATTAGAAAAATAACTTCCACTAAGCAATGCCAAAAGATACATTATTGTATTTCATTCTTTTAATGTAGCAATTTAATTTCATTGGTTCAGATTTCGACGCCAAAAATTTTTAAGAGTTCCAAAATTGTGACTAAAAAAGATGAAGATCTAAAATTTCTAAATTGTGAGTTCTTTCTTGCAATTATTGAGCCCCTGGAAAACTGTGCACAAGGATTCTTGATTACAGAACTTCAAAAGCAAAAACAAATTTAAATCTAAATTTTCACGTGATTCATTTACCTTGAACAACAGGTCCCTCTTCAACTTCATATTCATCTTTTAAAAACTTGTACGATGCATCTGAAATGTGAATTTTCCCAGGAACTCCTGAAGATTCCATGGTATTAGCAAGAGTGACATCATTAGACCAGACATCGAACTTGAACCTCCTTGTGCCAACTATACCACAGAGAACAGTACCAGTATGAACACCTACTCTCATGTCGACTGATTCATTATTATCCTTATCAAATTGCTTTATAGCTTTGATCATACCAAGCCCCATCTCTACACAGCATTGAGCATGATCTGCCTTTGGTTCTGGACAGCCTGACACGCAATAGTAACAATCACCCAATGTACTAATTTTTTCACAGCCACACTGAGTACACAAGGCATCAAACCTTCCAAACAGATCATTCAGGAGACCTACTAAATGTTCAGCTGTTTTATTTGAACTCATTTTTGTAAAACCAACAATATCAGCAAACAAAATGCTAACATCTTCCATCGAACTCATATTAAATGGTCGGAAAATTATCTCTCCCTTCTCATGATGCTTATGTTTTGAATTGTGTTTCTTCTCTCTTCCATCATCAACTTCTTCATCTGGGTTACTACGCTGTGAATCCATCACTTCCAATGCCACTTTCGGAGGCATAAGTGAGTGGATCATTTTTTCTTTGATCTGCTTTTCAACTTGTAAATCTCTTTTTGCCATTACAGACTGGCCTATTTTCCAAAAAGTACTACGACGTGTAACTTGAGACATGACAAATATGTGAATGCCCATGATATGAATACACAAATGTAGCAAAACTTTGCCAACAATAAATGTTACGGACTGCATGTCTTTATTCTGAAGTACAACGAGTACTTCATATAATATTGAATGTGTCACACCTATTCCAATGGCAACGAATAGTGGCATGGGCAATACTGCATACATGATTAATAACACTTCTATTGATGCAGTAAAACTACCCATTGTTGACAAGTCTGATTGTGCATATATAAACTGCACAAGTATTGCTGCACACAACACAACAGTCAGGACTATTGAAGTATGTAAACAAAACCTTTCATAAAAGGTTGTGTAACTAAACCAAAGGATAAGTGCTACAAATCCCAACAGAGCTAAAGTTCCGCCTAAAAAATATGTCCACTTATCACTTCTTGTAGTTCCAAAGAATACACACCAAGCGATACAAGCTATGATAATATAGAAGAGCGCATATTGAAATCGTTTCCGTGTCTGTGGAAGGTAACTTTTCCACTGTTCTTCCTCTAAAGCATTAGAATCAAATTTTGGGTTCCACCAGCTTCCAGATGCACGTTCAAAGAGAATTGGCCAAGAACCCCTTTTAGTTGGAAGGGAAGTCCCCGTGATTCTATTTTTAGCTTGGTATTCGATGTCCAGTTCAACTGCATCCTTGTCCTGCTCATAGTGTGCAGAGTTTTGGGCCATTTTTGTTTTACCTGAATTAAATCGAATACTATCCCATTATGTTGTCACAACCTACAAAATACACACATATATGTTATGCACCAGTAAAATTATTTAATAAAATTATCAAAAAGCGTAAATAATTTTTTGACAGTTTCGAAAACATTACTTGACCTTACCATGTATCGGCCATTTCCTTTAAAATATACAATACTTTGAGAACTAAATCGTACTTTTGTGAGATTAAAGGTCCTTTAATTCTTCACGCATGAGATAACTTTTTGTGGATGTGTGTGTACGATCATTGACATTACCTTGCTAGAAGATTTTGTAAATCCATCGTGTCGGTCTCAAGCGGCTGAGTGATTGAGATCATCCAGTGGGAGGCTGCATTAAAAATAGAACAGCCGAATACACATAATCAATGATCAATGCAATGTTGATAAACTTGACCTGTGTTTAATACGGTGTGTACCACTAGTATATTTACACTGAGAAAAAAGAAATAAATAAATTAAAAAACCTGAACTTCTCATATTCCTCAAACATGTCAAAGACGTTATTCTGTGTTTTGAAAATCTGTGATTCGTCCATTTTCAAAGACATAATTATAGTTTACAGTCAGTGTGGCATGTTTTTATATATTTTGCATAACAACAGATAATAATGCAAACGCTTCAACGGATGAGAGAAAATAAAATAAACTATTGATTAGGCATCATTATTTTAAGTAACTCTTAACAAGGAGGCGGCGGCCGCGTTTTGTTTACAAGATAAAAATTCTGATACTGAATTTTGTTCTGATCTCTGAGGTTCTGATAAAAGTATACACATATGTGTCATTTATACCGGGATCGAGTTAACGATATTCGGATCTATAAGTTTCCCTTTTTAATACATATTTATTCCTTGTTCATATCATGAATTTTAACTTATTTACGGCTGAACTTGAACAAGTCACGATACCGTCTTGACTGGCATTCCACCGGGACTTTCTGTGCACCCCTTATTACAATACAGACAGTGGTATATAGGGTCGGACTGAAACGTGGAAATGGAGGGGGGATTTGTGGAAGTGTAAAGCAAAAAAAGCCTAACCAACATGGCCGACATGGCTAAAAATAGAACATAGGGGTAACTTGAACTGCAAGTTTTGTCTACTATCTTGAAAACCGCTATGAACAGAGAAAATAAGACTTCAGCAGAAATGTGCAGAATGTTGAGATCTACCTACTGTCATTTTACGTCAAAATTGTTAGACGACTTTTATAGGAGTTATTGCCCTCAAATATCAAATTTTACATTTTTTTTTCATTTTTGCTTGTTATCATGAAAAATATAATGGATATAGAGAGAGAAACTTTATCCAGATAATATGATCAGCAAGACAAGATCTACAAATAAGTCAAAATGGCCGAAATCGTCAGATGACTCCTTATTGAAGTTATTGCACTTTAATGATGATTTTTGATAAATTTACCTTACAAAAATCTTCTCCTCATGATCAGAAACTACTGGACCAAATTTAAATTTGGCCACAATCATTATTGTGGTATACTGTTTAAAACTGTATCCGATGACCCCGCCTGTCAACCAACATGGCCGACATTGCTTAAAATAGAAGATAGGGGTACACTGCAAGTTTTGTCTATTATCTTGAAAACCGCTATGAATAGAGTCAGATATGAAGTGAGAATGCTGAGAACTGCCTGCTGTTCATATACATCAAAAATGTCAGACAAATTCTTATAGGAGTTATTGCCCTTAAATGTCAAATTTTATAAAAAAAAAAAAAAAAAAATTCACTTGTGTCTCAGTATTATTTTGAAAATTATAATAGTAACAAAAGAAACTTTTAGTAGGAAAAAATATTAGCCACACAAGATCTTCAAATACGTTGACATAACTGAAATCGTCAGACGACTCCTTATTGGAGTTATTGCTCTTTAATGACGATTTTTACATTTTTTTTGCGTTTTTGCCTGTAATGGGCGTCTTTAATTGACAATAAAATATATTTGAATTTGAATTTGAATTTATATATGCGCGATTGAGTTTGCAATTATTTTCCGATTTCAAAGATTACAGTGATACATATATACCTCATGAATTAGTCATATTTTTCACTGAATGACGGTTGTAAATGCAACATTAATGTAGACAAAAAAAGGGGCAGACACTAAGGGACAATATAAAAGTCGAAGAAAAAGATGCTAACGAAAAGACGAACAAGTCTACAAAAAATCATAGAAAACTCAAGATTGAACAACACGAACCATACAAAAACTGGGGACGAACTCCAAAAAGATAAAGATCAGAAGTTTCTGCTTAACTAGTTGCTCGTGGTGGGTTAAACATTGTGACAAGTCACATTCTGTGATGTCACAATCAAGGAAAAGAGGGTGGGATTGTGGCTACGACAAGAGGGACATTTCTTTGGTTATCTGTGACGCAGATACTCCCTAATAGTCAACCAGATCTTCATGCATCAAGTATTGCATTTAAAGGAGTAGGTCCGGTAAGGGCCGATTTTGGCCTCAAATTTCAGATTCATCTGATGAAAGATTTTGGACACTTTTTAAACACTTAAGTGTCTACTTCAGTCGATTCAATTAGTTTATGTGAAAGATTTTAACTGATTTAGTCATTAAATACGCTCAAATTCAAGCTTAAATATGAAAGATCTATCAAATATGCCATAATATGTCACTTTTTAGATGGTTTTTGTAAAAAATGGAAGTGGCCGCATCCGTGTTCACTCTCACCCTTTATATATGTTTTGTATTATCATCAAATACAACTTGCATTTAAATATTAAGAATGAACACAAATGCGGCCACTTCCATTTAAGACGAAAACCGTCTAAAATTTAACTCAAATGCTAAAATTGTGAAGATTTCAGTAATTTAGCATGACTGAATGATGCTAGTACCCGATATATGTGCATTGTATTGTCAAAAACAGCCCATATTTGTATAGCAGAAGTATTCTACTTTCCAATAAATAGCTAAAAGTTTACATTTTAACAATTTTGGAAAACTGCTATATTTTGGGGCCAAAAAAGGGTCTTACTGGACCTACTCCTTTACAATTAGGATTTCTTGGTTCAGAAGCTTCACGGTAAGCAGCAACCCTTGTTGGGGTAATCATGATATTAAGCACAAGACTAGGAGTATCGTATCAAATGGGTTTATAGTCCATACGCAGGCGCTGATGGAATATTGACACACTTAAATGGGAAGTTCACAAATTGAGAATAGGAAAATTTAAATAATCTCTTTTGTCGTAAAGTCTAGATCTCGACCGACCCCAGTTTCTAGATTTAAATCAAGATATGAATATGTCTTAACTATAATGATATATACAGTATTTATATTGAAAATATTCATCACTTTCATCAAACTGCAGGAGGAACTATTTATAATACCATTACCATGTCATCAGTTTTGCCAATTTACTTTGAAAGGTACGTGTCGCAGTTCCCAGTAATCTCGAATCGTCAACGGAGAATTGTTGCAAGGTGAGGGGTTTTAGTCTTGTTGTATATATTTGGTCAAAAATGCGAACTCGGATATAAAGGATTGAACTGATTCAAATGTTGATAAACAATGTCATTTGTATTGTTGTTTATGGGTGATCTATGGTTACACATCAGTTTGGTTAACCTGTCATTCAGTTTACCCCCCCCCCCCCCTTTTTTTTTACAAGCACTCGACAAATGATGTCTTGTAGGTTTGTAGGTTATCAAGTTTACTTGTTTAGATGCATTCAGCTGTGAAATGACAGTCCTGTTTAGCGTTATACGTTATAAATGTAGGCTGTTAGTGAAAATGTAAACCAACACCAAAAAGTAATTGTGTGCTCATGCAACGGGGGAAGCGACATACAATGAGATTTACGTGTATATAACATGTACATTCTCTGCGATTATATTTTTGCAAGTGCAGCTGTTATGGCTCTGTACACCGTATTTTACTTTGGATTCATTTATTGTGTATATGATTTTATTCGTTGGTGTTTAGTTGTGTGCGTGTGTGTGTGCTCCAGTGCTGGAGGAAAATATATAAAAAAGAGGAAGTGGTAGACATAACTCCGAAACTGATGCTTATGACGGAAAGGACACCCGGAAATCATTTTGTTTTTCGAATTATTCCCCAACTAACTCAAAATAAAAATTCCGGCATCAGGAGCATAACAAACTACAGGATAGATAGCCATATTGATTGGTTTGATCTGGGGAAAGGATAAGCAAGACAAAAAACAGGTCTCCTCAATTAGTATTATAAATTCATCATTCTGGTCTCGAATACCCATACTGTCAAACCATCCGTATACAATTTCTTTTCCACTTCCTGAGGTGTTTAATTTTATGACTGATTCAAGAAAATAGCCACACCAATTAGCAACCAATCAGAAGTAACTGTGGATCGATTGATAATAATTTAAAGATGGCGTGTATATGAGTGTCTGGATGGGGCTTATAGACTAGAGAATAATGGCCAAAATAAATAATAAATAGAGAAAAGTTAGCAAAAGTATAAAGAATAACAGAGTAGAATAAAAGAATTAAGTAATAAAATACTGATTACAGAAATGAACGATGTCATGATGTACAGAATAAATGAATGAATTAATGAATTTATTGATTAATTATTTGGTGTTTAACGCTACTTTCAACACTATTCCATATGCTGTTTCGTGACGGTCAGTTTTTATTGGTGGAGGAGCTGGAGCGCCCAGAAAGAACCATCGACATTCGGTAGGAAAATTGACAATCCTAGTCAATTAAGATTGGAGTAGAGCGCACCTGCCACTTGCGGGATTCGAACTCACAACCTCGGGGTTTACAGGCTAGGGATAAAGTGATACTACTTAGACCACTCGACCACCGAGGCCCGTCAGAATAAAAATATCATCCGTAATTACATAAAATTTGAATTATGAAATTATTAGCATGAAACTTTTACAGAATAAGCATTATATTTAAAGATATTAAAGATACAGAAAAATAGAGAAAACAGAAATTAGGGACCCATATACCTGGATAATAAGACCACAGGCTATCTTCTATTCTTACTTGGAAAAAATAAATACAAGAAATTATTTGAATCTGGAATAATTTTGAATTCTGGAAAATTGATAAGCAATGTATGATAAAAGTAACCCAATTAAGGAGGGTTATCCATGCATGCACGGGCAAGAGGAGTTAGCTACTTCGTACTGAAATATCGGTCAAAGTAACTCGAACCTTAGCCATGTGCTAAA